CTCTCTCTCTCTCTCTCTCTCTCTCTCTCTCTAGCCAATGAATGCGTGTGCATGTCTGAGTCAGTCAGTGAATCGATTCCTCCTCCAGTGGACCGAGCCAGACAGCACCCAATTGAAGAGTGCCTCTCCTGGGTTTGAGCGCTGCTCAGAGCCATTGATTCCACGAGGGAACCACAGACACTGGCAGGAGGACTGGAGAAGGTGGAGGAAAGGGGAGGAGGGACACCGGTTAACAGATTAAAGCCCTCTCTGTTTCTCTCTCTCTTTCATTCCCTCTGAGTGAGGAGAGACAACTATAGGCACTGCATGCTGTAATCACATTGCTTCTGTGTAATCTGCTCCTCTCAATTACTTGTCCTTCCTCCTCGTTTTTTACACTGCTGCGGTCTGGAGGACAGGCAGAGCACAATTTAAAAGGACTTGTGGGTCTCTTGTGCTGCCTCCTCTTTCTCCCTCTCTCCTTCTTTCTCTCGCTTTTTTTTTTTAAATGTAAGTGGAAGGTGGGATTGGGGGGAGTGCATTAGGGAGTGGGATAAACCGTTGCGGCCAGCTGGAGAGATGGGCAAATCCAACAGCAAACTAAAGCCTGAGGTAGTGGAAGAGCTGTGCAGAAAGACCTACTGTGAGTATTCATCTTTAGTCCTTTCTTCCATGTCTAGTGCCTTTTTGTGCTGGTTGATTGCATGTTATATCTAATTATTTCTCTCCCTACTATTTTCCTTCTCTAAATTTAAATGGAAACAAGCCTGCTATAGTATGTACTTTAAAACCATCTTTCCTAAAACCAGTATTGGTGGATTTCATAAAGTTGCAATTGGCTTAAGTATAAGCTGAATGCAACCAAGCTATTATACTGCACTATTGATTCTGTTTATTTGTGTGTGTGTGTGTGTGTGTGTGTGTGTGTGTGTGTGTCTTACCTGCCTGCTTATGAACAATTACGTTCATGTACCTTTGAATCGAATGTGATCATCATTTCGTCTCTGGGGTCATTGATTGTCCTCTGTCACTAATCATATAATCATTAAGCGTGTTTTGACTGGCTTGCATCTCTGTTGTGAGAAGATAAGGTGCCTACATGAACAGCTGGCAGCAACTTACACGTCGAGTCAATAAGGTGTGGGGCTAACTGCAAATTGTGTTGCAGCAATCCTTCCCTGAGGTGGAGAAAGCATATTAGCATTATCATTATCACATCAACTGGCTTTGACTTGATTTAGATTGCTGAAATGAGATGAGGCTTTGAGACCTTGTTAATGCTGCATATTAATCACAGTGCGAAATAGGTGAAGCAAATTTTAGTGGGGAAGGTAAAACAGTGATCATAATTATGACATAATTAAGTCTACACGACTAGATTAGCAACATCTGTTTAAGTGACCATTGTTTTGTTTTAGTGTAAGGCCACGGTCCCACTAGACTGTGGTTATTTCATTTAAATTTATACGTATACAAACACATGGAAATGCAGATGCAAAGAGGTTTCGTTATTTGTTGCAGTCACACTGTGTGCAATATTTTTCACAATATGCAATAATTAAGGATATTTTTATTTGCTTCATGGCTTATGTTTCTAATAAGTCACAAATAATACATTTAAAATGTGAAAATATACCATCTTCACATTTAGCCATTCAGCCTGAAACTTGAATGTATATAAATGGAAGTCAATGTAGCTGGATGTCTTTTGTGACCGCAACTTTAAACAGTGTACAGAAGTTCAAGTTTGGTAACCTCTGACCTGTGAATTCCATATCACAAAGACATTTGACCAGTAGTGGATTTAAATGTCACAGATTGACCTCTTGGCTCAATACAAGGAATACAAATTCCATCTGCATTGCAGTGTTGCAGCAAAGTGCAGTGGATATATTTATAACTTAAGGTATGTTTTATCATTTGTAACTGATCATTTATTACAACCGATTCTCTGGAGAGTGACCTCATGTTCTGCTGTCCATATTTTTTTTAATTTGCTTGGCTTATATTATTTTTTAATCATCATTTATTCACTTACATGTTGTTCCAAACCTGTATCTTTCTTCAGTTGTTTTTTAATTGGTTACAATATTTTTTATATCTTTTAAGTCTTTTTTTTGTAAAGAAAGAAAACCATACATATTTGGAACAACATGAGAGTGAGTAAATGGTGACAGATCTATCCCTTTATGTTTGTGACAGTTAATAACAAACATGATCTATCAAACTGGATTCTTATTTTTCTTGTTACTATAGTGATAGCTACTTCTCTTAGCAGTTAGTACTATGGTGCTAAAGAAATTAATGACTTTCTAGGCCTACCGTTTAATGTATCAGTTCCCTGGGACATTATCAAAGATCCACCTGCTACAAGTAGGTAACTTAGTTACTATGTTCTCCTTTAAACTTCAGTGGAATTTAAGCACATTCCGAGCGGTAGTGAACCGTTCATGTTTAATGAGCATCTTCAGAGGTTGGGTTTTGTGCACAGTGGGGGGTAAAGCAGGGCTGTCAGGAAATAATTTCCTGCTCCTTCGCTGCAGGGTTAGATCAGAGTGTGAGCAGTGCACAAATCCAACAGGCTTTCAATGAGACGATGTCTGCAATAGAAGCCAAACATCAAAGACTCATGTCAGTCACTATTCAGACAACAAGTGTTTTGATGCATTGGTCACGTAATTGGTCACCTGAAGATGTTTTCTTTTTTTGTGTCAATTGTTAGTTGTTGTTTTTTTACTAAGAGAAATTGATTGAAAGTGGTCTGAGAGAACCATTTCAATACTCTTTCTTCTTTCTATGCTGTGAGCTAGTGTGGTCACTCCAATTAGTAAAATTGTGAAAAATCTGCATGAATGTTCTACACTGAAGAGTTTCATTTTATGGATGTCAACCTAATATCACATCATGGAATTCAAGAATCGGGTTTGAGTTAGATGTTTCTCTGTGGTCTCTGTGCCTGATTCTTCTATATTGAGCTGCTGAACAGGATGACCTTGGAATTACTAATACTTGGAATTAGTGCTCTGCATTTAACCCATCCAAAGTGCACACACACAGCAGTGAACACACACACACCCGGAGCAGTGGGCAGCCATTTTTTTTGCTGCGGCGCCCGGGGAGCAGTTGGGGGTTCAGTGCCTTGCTCAAGGGCACCTCAGTCGTGGTATTGAAGGTGGGAGAGAGCGCTGTACATTCACTCCCCCCACCTACAATTCCTGCCGGTACAAGACTCGAACCCGCAACCTTGGGTTACGAGTCCGACTCTCTAACCATTAGGCCACAACTAATGAATTGATCAATTGATTGTCTGCATCCCATTTTACTTCTGCAATGTGAAATTATGTTTTTCTGTGTAAAATAGGATATTCAGTAAGGAAAAATATAGGGTGAGACTTGATTTTGGAATTGATTGGATTGTAAAAAAGTGGGTGTTAAATTCGACAGTCAGCCAGACTATTTGCTAGAATGTCATTTGGCTATTGGTTAATATTATCCAATAGCCTGCATGGCCAAAGTGATGTCAGCAGAAAAGGAAAGTTGTATAAATTTTTTACTATTTTTTTTAAACAAATTTTTAACTTTAAAAAGGGGGCACAATGATTTGCTTTTATTTAATCAAATGAATGCATTTTCTGTTGAGGACCATGATTGTGCATTAAGAAAGTAAATAGGGTCAGTTTTTATTTCATGTTCAAGTTAGCATGTAACGGAATTCAATCTTTTTTGTTTTTTCAAAGTGCTGTTATTGGTCTAATTGTGACCAGTTCATCCTTACATGTTTCTTCTTGGCCCTTTCTTACAATCGAATGCAAGCTCATATTCACTTCTTCCTCCATCCAATCAACAACCAAACAATAGAATCAAGTCCCTGTCCTATATTATTAGGGGTTCTAGCACGCAGTGCTGAAACCCTATTGTAATTGTAAGGATGTTTTTTATTATTAGGGGTTCGAGCACGAAGTGCTGAAACCCTATTGTAATTGTTAGGATTTTTATTATTATTATTATTATTATTATTATTATTTTTATTTTTATTATTATTATTCTTCCCTAAAACTGATCGTGCAGCCCAAACCGTAAGGCCTAGAGAGCTGAAACTTGGCCAAAAGGTAGTAGTCATGCTCGCTACTCAGGCGCAAAGAGCCGGCCCAATCGGCCAAATGGGGGCGCTACAGCGCAAAAAACTAAATTTTCAGACATTTTTGGCCGTAGCTCGTACACCATTTGTCGTAGACTCAAAAATTTTACCGGGT